TTCATCACTCCCTCAAATTTTTCACCCGTACCATCTTAATATCACCCCTTAACACCCCAACTTCTTTCACCCTTCACCCCAACACCTCTACTTCTTTCACCACTCCATCTATTTTTCCTTCCACTACCCCCTTATGCCCTCAAGTGTCTCTCGACTCTCTCAAGTTTCTCTTCGACTCTTGATTGTCTTTTCATGATTTCAAATTGGATTTTTTTTATATCACCAATTCAGACATCAAAATGTCGAAGTTACTACGTTTTCCCTCACCGTCGTCCCACTCACCGTCATCCCCCCAATACACCATCCTCATTTCTTCTCCTCTGCCTCCACTGCCTCCTCTACATCCTTGCCATAACCTTCAAAATTAAATTACAATATTAAGACATTGATTATATTCTAATATTATTTAATTACATTTATTACCATTTCTTGCTTCTTCGCTCTATCCAACTTCAACTTCACCATCACTCTAACCACCTCTTCCTTCCCCCATGCACGGATGTGTGCCACTCCGGTTCTTTCATAAGCCGGCACTGCCTCACAGCCCGACCAAAAATCGAACAGTGCAACCTGCATTTATAATAAAATTTATATTTTTATATAAAAACACAAAAAGTTCTTCAACTCATTTACCTCTAAGATTGCTATGCACCCTTTGAGGTATCTCTGGCTGCCCTTTTTAAAGTTGATTATTGATTCAATCAATCTCGAATGGATATATTCAGCCCAATTGAATTCACCCTTCAAGCCTTCATCACAATGAGCTTCATATGTTCTTTGTTCGTTGACGTATTACCCGTTGGACAAAGAAATTACCGACAAGGTAATAGAACTCTGGCCTTCAGCTCATCCCCAACGTAAGATCCATTTTTTATTTCCTCTTCAATTTCAGTATATGTCACCTTATGCTTCAAACCATATTTGGAGGCAAGTGCTTTCCAGTCCTTACTCTGACAGACTTCTACAACACTTTTGCCTTCATTTTCTACCCCCAATACGGCTGCAGCACATGGGATCCCGAGAGGAAATGAAAAATCACCATATTTAGCAACACATTGCCTGACATCAAATTGCGCCATCAAGGATCGACCAAATTCCCTCCGAATAGGTCGATCCCTTACTCCTACCAACGATCCAAAACCTATTTCTCCAGCACATTCAACTGACCCTTCTCCTTAAGGTGTTTAATTAATAAATCCCCTTTTAATGATGCATCTTGTCGACACTTCCTACATTTTTTAACAATATATAATGTTATAGTTCTTATATATTTTGTATCAACGTATTTACAAGTTTAAATACCTATTTTCATGTGCTTTCCTCCGTTCTTTGTATTATTTACTATCATTCCTTGACTGTGTGATATAAGGTTCCTTTTCAGCATCACTCATTGAATTCCATTTGGACCTCACATCTTTTGTCACCTAATATAAAACATAAACGTTTCTTAATCAATACATTAACACTAAATATACTCAATGTCAATTTCATTTTACATACCGAACCGCTCTGTGTGCCATTCCTTCATCCTTTTGCATTCGGCCATACTGTCAACATTTAAAATTTGTAATCAATTTAAAGTTATCGATACTTTAATCCAATTACCATTTCAACAATAATAACAAAAAGACATTGATACTTACTAGAAGTACATATATCCACCCTTGGGTTGCTTTCGAGTCTCGGCCTCAATTTCAAAGTCATCTGCTCCACCAACAATTTTCCAACCCATTGACTCCATTTTTCCTTCATATATCAGTTTACGCAAATCAAATTATTTGTTACATACACTTTATTCAATATACAATATAGATAACTACTCTTGTGGTAAAACGGTTTTCTTCAAAAGAATTAGAATGGCCCACCAAAATGTGTCGGCACATTTATACAACCTATAATATCATTTTCTACCTATAATATTTAATAAAAGTATCGACATTTATATTTTCCTTGATATCACTTTCTACCTGCAATCGTTCCCAATGCTTCTTACTCCAAAACCCCAAACAACATAAAAACACTATCGCGATTACTGTAATATAAAAAATTAGGGTTTCGACAACATACTTTTCGATTAGACTGCAGCAACAAACAAACAAACTTCGCTTTAGAAACGCCTTCTGAAATGCAGCAACAATTACGCTTCGCTTTCAAAACTCGTCCGTTCTATCTATTTTCAGAGGAGATTTAGCTTATATTTTGATCGGATGTTATTTAATTTAATCGATACAATATAAAAGTGTCGATACTTTTATGTCAGGTGTCGATACTTTCGAAAGGATAATTACCTATTTCTTTGAAAGTGTCGATAATTTATTACACGTACTACGAAAGTATCGACACTTCAATATATCCGATATCATTTTACCGTTTTATCATTTTGATACGGTTTTATCATATTTTTACCTGTTATATCGTTGTGGATCGATATATTTTTTAAAGTATCGACACATTATAAGCGCTAAAACTGCTTCTCTTTTAAATTCACAAAGTGTCGTCCTATATATAAAGTATCGACACTTTCAATATCCGGTAACGTTTTGGTTTTATCATTTTGTTACCGGTTTATCATATTTTTACCTGGTAATTTAATATTCTTCATGACTTAGACCTACTTTATACGTATGGACACTTTTATAAAATGATATACTTTTTTTAAAGTTATGTAATTATGTTTCAATTTTTTTTAATAGTGTTTCATGTTTTCCACCTACAATATTAATTTAATAATTTCATTTACAAAAAATTATTTGATTATTTGATATTTTATAAAATATTATTTAGAATTTAAATTTAACAATATAACCAAAGATAATAATAAATATGTTTCCACAAAAATATGGACACTTTTAAAAAATGATATACTTTTTTAAAGTTATGTAATTTATGTTTCAATTTTTTTTAATAGTGTTCATGTTTTCCACCTATAATAGTTTAATAATTTCATTTACACAAAAATTATTTGATTTTTTGATATTTATAAAATATTTTAAATTTAAATTTAACAATATTAACCGAAGATAATAATATATGTTTTCCACATGAAATAAGTATGGACACTTTTAAAAAATGATATTACTTTTTTAAAGTTATGTAATTTATGTTTCAATTTTTTTAATAGTGTTTCATGTTTTCCACCTATTAATTTAATAATTTCTTTACACACAAATTATTTGATATTTTTTAAAATATTATAAAGATTTAATTTAATTACCAAATAATAATATATTTTTCCACATGTATGGATACTGATACTATATCAGGTAAAAATATGATAAAATCAGATTCATTGACAAAACCGGTCAAATTTACTTGATATGTTAAAATATGGACACTTTTTAAAAAGGATAGATACTTACCGATAACCAAAGTTTACCGGTTACCAAATTTTTAATAGTTTTTCATATTCTACCTAAACATTATTAGTTGTCAACATAATAGGTACCGCTAAACCGAATTTATTAAATACATTTTAATGTATCCGATATTACCGTATATTAATCGTATATTAACCCGCCTTTCCTGAGACAATCCCGAGGAACAAGAATCACTGAATTAGTGAAACATGGTGGCGTAAGGAGGTGTGCAATGCTGATCCTGAGACGTCTATCAATGATAGATTAGTCAAAATCACCCATCTCCGTTGAGATTCGTGCGACTGTTGTGGCTCACCCATGCAGCGTACTTCTTGCTCCAGAAAAAAAGGGGGAAACGGTCCAATTATTTTGCTAGGCTCAAACATATTTCTATACATTTTTAATAAATTATTTTGGGATAACATTGGCCTAGAGCATTGGAAAGCTGAAACTTATTTATATAAAAATGCCTTATTTTATTACTCGTAACTCTGTAAAGGCATCTTTGACTAGGGGAAAAGAACCAAATTTGGGTATATGCAGCGTCGCCATCTCTCCATTCATATTTTCCATACATGTGGATGGCTGGCTATATTTGCCGTTATGCTCAAGTTTTAATGGGTCCATCTTTCGTTTTGCCCTGTTGCATCTTCGTGTTTCTTAAAAGGCGGACATTTTAGGTTTATTATTGTATGCTTGCGTCCATAAGGTTTATAGTTTACACACTGCAAACAACTGTCATGAACTACTTGATAGCCATTCTGAAAAACAAGCTATGCTTAAACCGGATCCTGAACCGAACTTCTGCCATGCCATGACTCAAAAAAAAAACGTAAGATTTGTCGAAACCAAATCGAGCCAGCCACAAAGTAGCCTAGTTCATATTTAACAACAATAAAAAATATTTTTTTATTAATAATTCCGTTTATTTTATAATTAAATTAAAACGATAGCTTTTTTTATTATAAAGTATGAACCAAACCAGGCCTGATGATTTGACAGATCAAATCTAACAATGATTTGAAAATGTATCTTTAGATCGACATTTTAACAAGAGAGCACATACAAAAGCACCTAAAAGGAACATATCTATAGACGATCAAGACTTTTACAATCTTGAATTGACATGATTGGCTAAACACTAATGAAAGCTCCCCATAAAGAAGTAATGGCCAATGGGCACGTAGAGATTAAACGTCCCTACAAAAAGAATTATCATTATTTGAACTCGTTGCTTGAGGGAAAAGGTCTGAAGTTTGGCAAAGCAATGGAATTTACAATAGGACTAGACCCGCCTCGGCTACCCATCCGACATCAATTCCCCAATGAGCTCACCGCTTACTCGACAACAGCTGCTATCAGTGCTTCATATCCTAATACAGGCTATCCTTCTAGCCGGACAAACGGGGCTAATGACTAACGAAAACCGACCCAGACAGGGTAATGACTAACGAAAACTGACCCAGACAGGCTAATGACTAAAGAAAACCAAAACAAAGACGCATTTCACATTTACAAAACAGAGGAAACCAAAAGATTAGAAACACCCCCTGAACCCACCACCCACCACCCACCACAAAGATAAGTATTCACATAATCCTATTCCTAGCCTCTAAGCCTATCTAATTCTCGAACAAGTCTTGGTTCTTCAAATCCAGGTGACGTATTTTTGTCTTCCTATGGTAGGCAGCTCCAAAAATCGAGCTAGTGATTAGTGTCCCTAGACTCTAACAACCCTCCATAGCTCAGAAGTCATACAAAAGCTTCCACCGACAACAAAAGAAAAAAAAAAGAACAGCAGGTACAGAATGGGGAAAAATAAAAATAAAAAGGTTCTTATTTTACTTTTCAGGCTTAATCTGAGCTAGTTACAGTCCCTGTGGTCATTTTTTTCACATCCTGGCTTGAACAGATAAATATTCTTCTTACCATATTACAAAATTCCCTGCAAGGATGAAAATTTGGAGAGAATAAGATAAATTCTGGAAGAGGCTTCTTTCTTCTGTATATTTAAAAAAAGGAAAAATAACATGCATCAAGTAACTTACTGCCATGGGTCATCACCTACGAGCATCATATCCCCTTCATCATCAGTGTAGACGATCTCCCACTTATTCCTAGGGCGAAGCTCTCCCTTAATATCAAACATCTCCTCTAGTTCATCTATAAGCAGATCGTACCCTGCCAACGTGGTCAAGTCCACAGCACGACCAACAGCAACCCCCTGCATCTGAACCTGTTCACATATACAACCCCGAAGAGAGTTTATTGGAAATTGTTCAAAGAAGTCGATGGTTTTACAAACATATGAACATATGTTACTTCCAATACCTTAGTACGACTTCTTGTAGAATTAGAACTTTGCCTGTTCTGGATCTCTTTTGATGATACCTGTAACTGTTCCTCCTGCTTGTCTTTAGAATCTTTTGAAATGTCAGACTTCTGGTCAGAATCAGTGGGTGACAGAGTACTTATACCATGTCCTTCAGTAGTACCAACAGTCACATTAGAAAGTTGTGTATGTGTCCTCTCCACTGGAGTAGAACTCACAGAATGGTTTATCAGTTCAATACCAAACAATCGGCAACTAGCAGCTGTCTCAGATTTCTTTAACTTTTCAATTGGATCAAAGGTTGAATCATCCTTCAGTTGCGGATTTGAAAAGCTTGAAAGAAGAGACCAACCAGACACACTTTTGCTACCCTCTATTGCATCAGGAAACGGATGCTGAGAAACACTCATGCCAGAAGGCAGCCAGCTTGCTTCATTTCGAGTCTTCGAGACAGAGCTGCAACTACTGTTTATCTCTGTCTGCATGTGATGCCACAGGACAAGATTCTCATTTCTTTTAGCTTCGGCAGAAACGTTATGTTGACTTGGATCACGGGAATGCATCACTCCAGAATTCCAAGGAGCTGATGCTGTTGTTGTTGGCATGTCTACAATATTTCAAAGAACAAGTCAGATATAACAAGCATAAGTATAACATATAAATAATTCAAGGAAAAGTATGCCTTACATAGAGCAGGATTTTCAGTGGGTGGTCGAGGCCTTTTGTTTTTAGCTGCTGCATTTGGTTGAGTCAGAGTGGGTGGAATTGGAGCAACAAAGGGATCTATCTCCCATGGTGAAACCCTGTCAGGCCTCCGAATAAAGGCAGGCTCATCCCATTGTACCTGTTGAGAAGCATTAAGAAGTCTTTGATGAACATGACCAGCCTTAACAATTTAAATTAAAGTTGGATATTTCGTGTAAGAACCAATTACCTTCAGTGAACGCCATTTTGAATCTTTCCAGTGAGGAGAAAAGTCTTCAACACCAACAATTGTTCCAGAAAACCTTATCAATCAAGGTATGCTGAGTGAGTACTTAAAGAAAAAAAAAACTTTTTTCCCTTAAAAAATACCAATCCAGATCAATCATGTGGTTAAGTTCCACTACCTTCTCTCAGGAGAATCTTCCCCTTCAAACCTCATCTTAAATCTCATGCCAACAGCGAACTTATTATTAAGAGCATCTAAATATTTGTTCAACCCGATGATGAATTGACTTGTCCTGATATTTTACGTGAAATAAATATGAGAAAAGAAAATAATTAGAGTCTCTTTTTTTGGTAAATCCATAAATATCATACCTTGGCTTATAATAGACAACGAAGAGGGTTTGAGTTGAAAGAGCATGAGATGCAGTTGCAAGAACTCCCAAGTGCATATTCCGACTTGAAATCACTGATGGCGGCATGCTGCTCTGTTGACGAGCTACCCGCCTCACTCCAACACGGAGCTCCCCATTCTCCCCTCTATAGGACCAAGTATTAAATGAATAGATCATCAGCTACAATAAAAATGAATATAACTTGCAAAGAGCAGAGCACATGCAGGCATACACAAAAATATCTAAGTGGAGAAAAATGAGAAAAGAGAAAAAATATATATACCTTAGGAACACAAAAGAATCACCAGCAACTAATCTCTTTGAAGTAACAAATGTACTCCATCCTGTTGTGAGCAAATGCCTCCTTGGTTGACCTGTTCAATAATAAACAAATAAATCCGAGTGATTCGCTCATTCATGGTGGGCGTACCTTTTACATAGAATGAGAGGTCAAAACATAAAGGCTTATTTAAGTATCTCATATCTACCAAAACCAAAAAGGCACTTTAATATCAAAATTTTGAATGAAGAAGACAGAAAATAAGGTGTTTCGGTTACCTCTGAAAATATGCTTAAAGCGCCACTCATAACCATGAAGATCCTTTGCATCCAATTCCTGGGTTGGCGTTGCCTGGTTCATGTCCTGAAAGACAACCACTTCCAGAAATCAATAAACTGAAAATCTATGACAGTTGACAGAAGATGAAAAGGCCAAAACAAATAGCTTGATTTAGAACACAATACCAGTGGAGGAAGGCATTCGGTGGCATGTTTTCTAAGAACAGAAAACCCTCCATGGGTGCTCGTGTCCGAGGCTGTTAAAACCTTGCAGAATGAGTGAACTGTAGGTCTTTGAGGCTCAGGAGGGCATGCATCAGGAGTTGTTGGCTCAGGTTGCTATAAGATGCCAAAAATATAATTGGATATCAGTAATTTCAAACAATATAATAAGAAAGAGAGAGAGACCAACTTTGTTTTTGTATTCTAATACTGAGATATGTTCAAATTTGATTACTTACATTCGGTTCCGGCAACAGAGTTATTTGTGCATAAACTTCATCTGTTTCTCGTTCAGCCTACAAGCATCAAAATCCATAAAAATTATCCCCAAATCAATCATGTTGATAGAATAATATAATGATCCACTTTGTCTACATCACTTAGCATTGGACTGAAAACACAATTTATCCAGCCAATAAAACTAATTACTCAAAAAGGAAAGTTAATTATTCAAAGCTTAAGGTTTAGATTCTCTTAAAGATCAAAAACAATAAAAACAAATAGATCCAAATAATTATTCCACTTCTTTTTTGTTTCCTTCAGTTTCTCAGCAACCAAACAGACAATCAAAGCACGGTCTTTAAACTACAACAACCCATACAAAGCAACTGAAAAATCAGATATGGAAAATTACCAGCATCTGAATATGAACAACACGGCAAAGAATCTTTGATGGAAGATTAAACAACGGAATCCGCTGATTCAACTCCTGATTCGTGGACGCTTCCAACTAAAACAATCCCCACCAAAAATAGCAATATTTCAATCAACAACCCGTTTCAAATATTTCCGAATAAAACAAACAGACAAAAAAGAAATCAGATCAAAAAAGAAAGGGAAAAAACAACAAAAAAGGAGAAAAAACTTGCCTGTTCCATATGCCCTTGTGGAAAATAATATACTCTCTCTTCAACTCGAGGAACCTCAACCAGAGGTCCGGCACATAACTTCCATAACTCCGTATACAGATCATCCCTTCCGTTTCCTATCACACAAAAAGGAAATGAAAACCTTCAAAAAAATCCAGAAAAAAAAGAAAGAAAGTAGATTAAGAAAATCTCTTCTTACCTTCAGAGGACACATTATTCGTCTGCGAAAGCGATCCGACTCTATTCGCCATTTAACTATCCCTAACTCACCGAGTCAACAAGCAGAAACAGTAGCAGAGAAGCAATTAAAAAAAACCAAATAGATCCTCTAAATCGCTGTAGTACTTCACTTATTATGTACAGTTAATCACCAAAATAAAACCAAATAATTACGATTAATAACAGAGATAATCAACACGATTTAACTGCTCGACTCTTCGATTCCAATAGAACAAAATTTTCCACACAATGTTTTTTCCCTCTCCGTAACGATCGCGAGATCCAAATACCGTAACCGAAAACCGCTTTAACGGTTGCAATACCGCCTTTTACTTCCCCAGGAGAAAACCGCTTTTCGCTTTCACTTTTCTACTCTCTTTGTCTGAAAAGGAAGAGAATCCCCCCAAAATCGCTTCCCGCGCGTCTTATATTACGCAACTTTGTTTTGTTGTCTGCCTTTAAACTCCGATTCTTGTTTGGTTTTCTTCTCTGTGAAAAGTGGTGTTTATCGCATGTTTAAGGCTTAATTTAACTAACTGACTAACTCTGGTTCCGTATTTAACCGGGAAGGAAGGTTAAGGGTCCCTGAGGAGTCAACATAACGGACGTTTTGACGGTGAACGGTGAAAAGCCGTTACTAAGACGTTATACGTACGGATGATTGAACATGGGGATGCGTGTGGCTGGGGAAACGGGTGAGAGGCGTTAAGTATGAGTTGGACGTTACTTATTGCCGTTTGTTGCCGTCTCTTTCGTTGTCTGCTTCGAAACAGGCAACAGGGTTGGCTTGAGTTAACCCGGCAGAATTTTTGGGGTTGTTTTTTCTTTTTTTATTTTAATTGAAAGGAAGACTTGGGGAATTAATAGTTTGCCCTCGGAAGATGGTGATAATCACGAGGTTCTACAATAAGACTGTGGGGTCCACGTGAACTCGCGGTAAGAGTTGGATCTTGATCTTTTAAAAAAAATAGAAGGGTAAACTACATTCATAATAACTAAATTTTAATAGTATATTATTTAAGTAACTTAAATTTCGAAAGTTACATTAAAATCACTAAAGTTATTGGTAATCACAAAAGTGATCCCTCTGCAATGGACTTCTGTTAGGCCGATGATATGGAGTGTTAATAAAGGACTAATCTTCATTTAAAATATAGATCGAGTCTAAATTTCAACATTTAAAATTCGAGTCTGACATATTTCTATATTTATAATATATTTAATATTTTATTTTAAAATATTATATATCTTATATCATATAAAATTATATTCATAATAATATTATATATTATAATATAAATATTTAAAAATATATTAATTTTTTCAATTATAAATAATAATAAAATTTTACTAAAATAAAAGATATAAAAATAAATTGTTAATAAAATAACTTTTAGAAATAAAAATAATTTAATTATGATGAAAACGAGCACATGTTTAAATTTAATAGGGTTAGTACAAAATTCGGGGCCTCGTACATTTATAATAATTTATGAACATCTCTGCAACATAGTGTCTATTTTATAATTTATGGACAACTTTAATATCATATCATAATGTTTAAAACTTTAGTTATCAAACTAAAAATTCATGTAAACTTTAGTGACAGTGGGTGTGTAGTTTACCAAAAGAATTGTTCTTTTTCGCAGACAAATTGCGAGCAGTTCGGGTTGTTCTCGTCGGTACACGTCATGCCGGTTTGCCAAACTGGACTTTACACGTAGTTATGTTCGTGTGGGGTCACCTGTCCACGTAGACTTTCTACTTATGTTGTCGTTTTCATATAATTGCCTCCATTCATCATCTATTCGTCATTGATTTTCACCTTTTTCATTTGCAAGTAAACGAGCAAACAGTGAGATAAACCATCTAAACGTTATCGTTTAAGTGTCTTGTCATTTTTTTAATTAGAATAATTCCCTTGTTGTGCTTCAGAAAATTATAAATAAAATAAATCATTATTTTATAAATAATGGAATAAATCAATTTTTAAGTATGTTTATTTACGGTTAAAATTAAAGTATTATAATAAATTATATTATTTTATAGAAATTGTTAATTTTATTAAAAAATTAATTATTTCGAATTACGATAAAAAATTACAATCATAATTGTAACTTAAACATATAATTATGACATTTTACTATAATCATTGACACAAAAACTAGTTACTTAAAATCACGTAAATACAATACAATGAAAATATTAAAATATTTATAAAAAAAACTAGAATGAAAATAGACACAAATCTATCTTATTGCATTGATAAATTAACCATAAAATGAGATCAAGCTACTGGAACACCACTAACAAATCACAAATTATAATCAAGCGACGTAAAAAATTATCAACGAACACGAATCACAAATCCAAATCTAATATGAGAGTCCGAAGCAGGGAATATCAATATGATAATAGATAAACATCATCTTGATCTGATGATGTCAAATCAGTACTTAAAAAAAGAAAATAACTTCAGTGACCGAAAATACCTTATAATATACTATTTTATCCAAATTTTTTTGGATTTGCAAAAATAACCAACGAATTCGTAACTCGAAATCCAATTTCGCAACACAGTTTCCGAATTCGCAACTCGAACATGGAAATTTTCGCAACTCGAATTCGCCAATTTCGTAACTCAACTATCGATATAGGTAAACACGGTAAAAATCAGGTCAAAAATATGAATTCGTCAATTTGGAAACTGAGTTGTGAATTTAGCAAATTCGTGTTGCGAATTTGACCAATTTCGCAACTCAATTATCGATATAGGTAAACACGGTAGAAAAATTCGATAAAAAATCCGAATTCGCCAATTTGAAAACTGAATTTCAAATTTGGCAAGTTCGTGTTGCGAAATGTAAAATCTCGCCTCTTAAAGAAAAAATCGTTTTGACGGTTCGTTTGTTTGGTTAAAGTTAAACGAACGAACATGAACATACCCTTATTCGTGTTTGTTCAATTCATTTACAAGCGTAAGTTTAGCTGAGTGATTCATACGTGGACTTAGCAACTGGGATTTTTCTTTAAGAGGCGAGATTTTACATTTCGCAAATCAATTTTCAAATTGGCGAATTCGGATTTTTTACCGAATTTTTTTACCGTGTTTACCTATATCTGTAATTGAGTTGCGAAATTGGTGGATTCGAGTTGCGAAAACGAAATTCGCGTTGCGAAAATTTCTATGTTCGAGTTGTGAATTCCACTTATGTGTTGTGAATTCCAAATTTGAGTTTCGGATTTGGAAACTGTATTGCAAAATTGGATTTCGAGTTGCGAATCCGAATTCGAGTTGCAAATTCGTTGGTTATTTTTGTAAATCTAAAAAAAATTGTTTAAAATCGTATATTATAAGGTATTTTCGGTCACTGAATTTATTTTCTCTAACAAAATAAATAAAAACAACAGCTAAATGATCGAAAACGTGTCAAAAGTCAAAAAAATATTATAAATGTATTATTATAAAAATTTTAAAAAAATAAATATATAATATAAAAAATAAAAAATAAATATATATTAACGTCAACAATCAACAACTAAATTAATATAACCGCCGGCTTCGAAGATGAAAAGTAAAATGGATGACTGGCGCACACAATAGAGAGAAAACTATGAATTCATTAAACTAGTATAAATACAATATGAATAATAAATTATATTTTATTTAACATTATTAGATTTCCCCCCATACTTTATCAACTTGCTTTGCTTGGACAGCCATACCTACACAAATCAACGACCCCATACGTCAGAGTAGGCTGCTTTTACATGTTTCCTGGAAAGAAATAACAAAATCAAAAGGAGGAAGATGATATTTGTTTATTTAATACCAACTTTAATTATTTTTCTTTTTAATTTAATAAACCAGAATCATATTCCTCCTTTAATTTGCATCTTTGAAATTTCGATTTATTTATATTATCTACATAAGAGTATAAAATCTAATACAACATATTTCCAGATGCTTTTCGCACTGATGTGTGTGCTCTTCTGATTCTTCAATTATATTCATATCAATTAATACTCACATGTAATTTTAGGGTTTCGAAAATTTATTTCTTTATTTGAGTTTGAGATAAATCGAGTCTTTAATTTTATGATATTTCTTTCGAGTTATGTGAAATCAGATATGATCGAGTCCACGTCAGAGTAATTAGTTGAATAATTAGCCTTTAATGATGTGGATAAGCATGGTGGTCAGGGGTTAAATAAAAGGCTTTTTATTTTTCTATATGAGATGAAGACAAACCAATATGCATTACGGTTTATGAATGTTTCGCTGTAAGATCTAGATTTCTTATGCTTAACTTTACCACTTGACACTTGTCTCGTTAATATAATTTATTATTAATTTGGACCTACATTATATGCTTCATTAATATAATCTTTGTTTTACGAAGAGTTTATGTCTTTTTCCTTTGTTGATTATTAGAAGCATTATAAAATTATAATGGATAATCATGACAATGAGAAAGTTTCTCTTACATGGTTTGGTTAAGTGCATCATTTTCAGACATAAGCCTCCTTGTAATTATAGCTGAAACATCTTTATCTTTTACGAGAGAGCATTTCTATTGATGTTCAAATTAATTAAGATAGCTAGCAGGACAGTGGTTTTTTTTTTCCTTAATGATTCGGGTTTAAACAATCGTATCTATAGAATGATGTATATTGTCAATAAATTAAAAAAAATTTAAAAATAATATCGTAATTATCTCAAATCATTCAAAAAAAAAAAAGAAAGTGACTGAGAATGAAGTGTTGGGTGTCGCCATCAGAGTGAGTAGGCTTTGTTTGGTTGCATTGTGATCCTAATTGAAGAAACAGTGTTGAAAAGGGTACATACCGGCTGATTCCCCAGCCACCCCCCTCTAGTAGGGGATACCCGCCTGTCACTGTTTCATATTATTACTTACTAATTAAACAAATATATATTATTTTAATTTTTAATGAAAAATTTATTTTAATTTATATTGTCCATGAAACTATTTTTTAACGTTATTATTTATTTCTCTTAGTACTAAAAGTGTTTTTTACTCAAATTATTAAAAATTTGATTTTAACTCTAGAAATTGGTTTTAAAATCAATTTAAAATATATTTAAATTCTAAATTCTAAATTTTACTTTAAAAAAATTTCTCATAATAATTATTACTCTTTATCTTAGCATCTAATAAAATGTTAAATTATTATCAGAATTTATATATAACATTCTAAATATAAATATGACAATTAATAAAATACATGAAATTATCAGATGCCATGTGAGATAAAATAATAATATATTTCAGTGCTTATTCATGCTTAATTTCTTTACACCTCATCCTTCTTGTCATTACTATTAAAAGTTCATCAATATTTTTTTTAACTTTTCCAAGCTAAATGAGATTAATGGAGGATAACTAAACCATTAAGAAAATATAAAACAATAAAATAAAAATAAAGAGATTAATCAAGAAGAAAATGTTATAAAGTATAAATATGACACAAAACATTAAAAA